AGTATAATTCTTAACCCCCAAATTATCTCAGCGATTAGAATCATTAAGAGATAATGACAAATTAATGTTTAGCAATTACTTTTGTTGTGATCTCTATCAGTAAATATAATGCACGGCTATATTCTTGGAGGGAGATGACTTCATATCTTTTTTCTGAACTGCTGCACAAACTTGCAACTATTTGTGATACTGAGTAAAGTGGGATAGCTAGCTAGCTATGTAGATGTATAGATCTATCCATTGCAACGGGCAGATAACTTTTCCTACACCCTAGGTTGATCTGAGAAAAGAAGGAAGGAATTAACATGTTGAAAGGATAACAGATAACAAAAATAGATGCTACTTTTTAAGGAAGGAAATCCTTTTGCTTCAATAAACAAATTTCCCAAACATTATATCAAACAGGCTCATCTTCAAAAGGTGGAATAATAAACATTTGCCAAATTAATATATTTTTCACTTACTGACACTTTATACGACTTGACTGGACCTCTAAATGAAAAAACAAGGTTCTTAAACTCTTGATTTACCACTTACAATATTTGCTGCTCAGAATCAGTATATGAGTTGCTAATGACTCCTGGGCTTCTAGGTCTTAGGAGTTTTGAGCAATTTCAGCATACATTTGCAACAATTCAGTAAGTTCAGAGCTGTCATGGAATTTAGACAAGCGTTTTGATGTTTCATTTCTTAAAATGACAAGGGGTAATAAAAAGTCGGTATAAGTACATAGTGTAGTTTTATAGGTTTGGGGTTGTTTTTTGTTTTTTTTTTTTGTAATGTGTCTTTCAGAGAAGGTTTTATTTTAGGCTTCTGTGAATGTTTTTGCCTTCCTTTTGGACTTGAGAACCCGCGTACATGAGTAGTCATGCTTTTTGACATTATCAAACATTTGATATTTGACTTTCTCGCTGCTTGAGTTTTCCTAAGGCCCGAAGTGTTCAGTCAAGGGAGCAAGCAGCCATGTATTTTCAATCCTGAAAATTCTTCGCGGTGACAGAGAAGCCTAATTGAGCCACTGTGCAATTTTAGAGTGCCAAAGGGAAGTCAACTGCTATAGGAGGTTCGTAGGCATGATGAATGATTTTCTCAAAAGAAAATTTCCATGTGAATGTGAAAAATTTATTTTAGAGAAAACTTTGGAAAGAAGAAAAACGCTTGCATGGAGAATAAAACCGCTTCTTCCATTTAATCAGATTTCAAAAGTATTTCATTCAACTATTTAAATAAATGCTAATTTTGAAAACAACCCTTTAAAACTATAGGTAGCATCAGTGTCATTTAAATACTTGTTTTTGTGTTCAAGGGAACTCTATTTTGTCATTCTCTTTAAATGACATACTTCAAAAAGTACTACAGTATATTCCATTAAAAATCATTAGTATTAAAGCAGTCATTTTATGGACTCTGATAAGGAAGGACATTTAAGTGTTCACTTTTAAAAGGCATCCATCTCTTCACAAAAGTTTATTTCAATTTTAGGTTTAGGTTTTTATGACAGCATTGACACCACCGGTCGAAATATTGATTGAGAAGAATTTTAGCAAGAATACGTTCTGATTAAAAAGCAGACTTTTATGCCTAAGGCACATTTTTTCCCCTATAAAATACATTCTGATTAGAAAATTGCCATTGTCTTTCAAATTTGGGAGTACTCAGGTTGATCTGTGGTTGGGCAGAACCAGCTCTCCTGCCAACTCTATTTATTTAGATAAGTTCAGTACTTTCACTTTGAAATTTTCTTTTTAGTTTGAAAAAAAGCAAGTTTAAAATTATAGTCATTTTATAAAAATTGCTCCTAGCAAGCAGAAAAGCCTGTGGAAACCCCATAATTTAGACAAGTACCTACATTTTATTTGCTCTGTGCTGCTGAGATTTAGAGTCCCTTTCCATTTACAGTTTACTTTTCACAGAACATTATTAACTTTTTGGCTTCATACATGATCTTCTGTCAGATGCTTTTGATTTGTAATTTAGCAAAGTATAATAAACAGTGCAAACGTCATGAATTTTGCTCTGCATCCTGAGCTCTGTGGTAGGGAAAATGTGATAAAATGTGTACCTTAAGTCTTGTTTGATGATCTCTCAAAGCAAGTGTGCCTTCTGGAAATAATTTCTGGGGTTGAAGAGCATGGTATTAACAGATTTAATGTGGCTATTCAATGGATTGGCGAAGTACTATGTGAGGTTTAACAAAATGAGAGAGACAAATTGAACATCAACAAAAGTTACATCTGTGAAGAATTATAAATTTAATTAGAAAAAAAGGCAAACTTAAAAGACCTCATTAACTAATCAGAAGTCAAAGTTACTAGTTTAGGATTTTCGAATTTAAATTCTAAGAAGTTCGGTTATCTTTTTTCTCTCTGCATTTTCACAACTGTCAGTATGCTACTATGGGTATACTATACAAAGATGTTTAAAAAAGCATTAAAGTGAAATGACTTCTTTATAATATAAAATGACCATTTATAATTTTATGGGAAATATTTTTTTGTACTCCTAGGAACATTTGAGTTAAAAATACCAGATTAGGAGAAGACGAGAAACAAATTAAGTTTAATGATGTAAAGCAGAAAATGTGAGCTTCCTGAGTGCCTAACAGCCTTTTTCTGAAAACCATGAAATATTTTTTTTCTCTTTTGAATGAAAATATGCCTCATTATTTTTGAAACGTATTATGGTGTTAGACCTTGAAAACACAGAAACTTCCAGAGATCTTGTCAAGACAGCAGAGAAAATCAACAGCGATCAGAAATAGGTGTTCTTTTTAAATAAGTCATTATAAGAGTATGTTTCTTTACTGCATTGTAATCTTGTACTACACATAAAAAACTAAAAGCATGTGAAGTGTAGCATTTTGTAAACTGTAACTAATTTTGCTCACATCTGTGTCTAATTGTTGTCTGCGTTGGCATTCTTGAGAGTAGATTTATTTTTCCTGGACCACGATGTGGACTCAGCTGACCAGCCTAAGTGAGGATTAGCTGTTTTAAAGTTATTTTGATTAAAGAGTCATTTTTAAATACAGTAACACACAACACATGGTTTAAATAATCCTTGAGACACAAAAGAATATATCTGAAGTATACTTAATGAAATGAAGAGCATGGATGTGGACTTTCAAAAACTGGAGTGTATAAAAAGTACAGTACAGGCTGAGTCGAGTCAGCAGGAAAGAAGTATGTGGTTGTGAAGATACGTTATTTTTTTCAGCGAGAAAACGTATTAGAATTATTTTGACATTCACTTTTTAATTAACAGTTTGGTGTTGAAATTGAAGTGATAGGTTAAACATCAACTATAAATATAATCAGACTTTCAAACCATACAATGAAACTAAAATTACATTTCCAAGATTATACTATATCGCTAATGTTAAAATAGGACTGTATTTTAGCATTTAACAGAAAGTATGTTTTACATACTCTTTCACATAATTAAGCCAAGAGAGTTCTTAAAAACTAAGTTAGTTCTCACCTATAATTTATTCCAGGTGTATAAAAGTGGAAATAAAAAAGAAAATTTATCCTTGAGGTATATTGCCGCAGTTTCTAAAGGAAAACAGTTAATCTTGTGTAAGCACATTAATATTAACAAAAATTGCAGAAGGCTGTCATCACAAAATGACATATCTACAGGCATTAAAATTGAAATTTTCACTTAATGCTCATGCACCTCTTAAAAAATTATTTTTCATCCTCCACGTATTATAGGAAAGCATACCTAGACATTTCAGGGAACATTGCACCAAGATGGTTAGACTTTAACAACGCTTTATTCCTGCCAAAAAGTAGGAGTTCTTAATTTCATAAATCATAATTTAAAAATAACAGGACTCCATAGAAGATACGTGGTTGGATAACGTTAATGCCATTTGAGATGCTTCAGCTCTCATCTTTGTTTTGTAACCCTGATTGATGTCAGTTCAGGTTGAATGAAAATGCACATCAAAGATTGGGAATTTGGAGTCATTTTAAACGTTATGTGGAATACCCTTTACTGTTAAGACGTTAGCCTGAGCTTGCAAGCCCGAAACCCACCTTCACCCACCTTCACCCGAGCTGCTCACCTGCCGGCACATTGTGCTGCCTCTGGAGACAGGGCAGTGACCGGCAAAACCTGCAAGCTTGTGAAATCAGTTGTTCAGTGAAGTCCCGAAATACAGATTTATCTGGAAACAAAAGACACCCAAAGGCTGGCTCACTGGGACATTGATGATGATTATGATTAAGCTATCCATTCTTTTTCTGTGTTTCAAAGATGGGAAAGTAGCCCAAAAGCTAACTGCTTTTTCTGTTTTACCAGGCAGTGAGGAATAGGCATGCGCCGAATTGTAAATTTTCCGTGGGTCACTGGAGCACATCCCTGCGTGATGGGACTTGGGGTGTGAAAACTTGCCTTTGCCGTTTATAGTTAGTCCAGCGTGACCTGAAAGTTGCCCGGAAGCTGTTTCCGTGAATGTTCAATGACAACTAGTCAATATAGGGGAAAACCATGGTGATAAGGTTAAGAAACTGTGGGGAGTCCAAGGGGCGGGCGGGAACTCCGTTTCAGCCCGGTGATAGAAGATGAAAGACCTTCTGAGGATGCTAGAAGGTGACTGCTTGAACTGCTGCTGTGAAACACACTCGTTTTGCTAATAGCGATTTTTTTTTTCCAAGCACCTTTTCCGAGCTGCCTGGGCCAGGCTGCTTTGCATGTTGATTGGGGGAGGGGTGATCCGCTTGCAGCTGTCATAGGCCAGTGATGAATCACTATCCAGTCATTTGGCCGCCGTTCCCCCCCTGACAAGGGGAGGAGAAGGGTAGACCAGGAGGAAACAGCAGCAGAGATCTCAACTTAAAGACAATATGCCTTTCACTGCTGCAGTATCCTCCTTTTTCTCTTTTGGTTAAAAGGGGGCATTGTCGTTCCCAGCCATGTGCTCTGTGTAATTAAGAGCTGACAGTGAAGCAGAGTTAACAACAGCTTCTAATTTTTTTTACCCCTGATCACAGGTGCAAACATCTCAAACCAGTTCAGATGTTGCTGTTTCCTCAAGTTGCAGGTAAGGATATTGTTGATATTTGACATTTTCGGAGATTACCTCTCTGTGACCCATATCTATTTTTGTCTAGTATTTCTTAATTATTTCTATTAATAGCAACAGCCTGGGTTGGAAATTACTTAGCAATTTGTGAGAGAGTGTGTGTGTGTGTGTGTGTACACGTATGTGTGTACGCGCTTGTAAAACATTTTGAGAATGAAGAAGGGGAAGGGGAGCCTAGGTTTGAAAATGATTACGGTTGTGTAGTTTCAGGAATTCAGAAAACTGAATGTATAGTGAGAATGAGGAGACAGAAATGGGATTTTAAGCCATTTCTAGTTTGAACGCAGAAGAGCTGGGGAAGTAAAAATTCACGTTAGAAGTAAAATGGTTCATATTAAGCTCTTCTAAAAACTAGTATTTACAGTCAGTAAGTGCATCCTCCAAATTAAAATTACTAGCTTTTATTGACCTGGTGAGGGTGAGGAGCAAGCAGTCTTCGCTTCATACATGTAATATGAAATACCCCTTCCCCTTGAAGAAAAAAAAAAACACCACACATACATTTAAAATAAAGTGAATGGGCCTTAGATTTTCAAAACTTCAAAACCAAAGCATATCTAGGCTGGATTTTAGTCACTTTCTGTAAATTCTGTCCTCTCTTCCTTAATAGACGATGAACTGTCCATGGGTAGTTGTGCAGTTGTGAACATGAGTCGTGGCTCCTGTACCTTTTATAGAATAAGTAACTGCTGACTCCTCCGAACTTTTCAGGGGCCGGGGGGTGGGGGAGAGTTAGCTGTTTTTATGTGGTGAAAATGCACCATCAGGGTGCTGCAGCAGAATGCTGGCCCTGGCTGAGTGACAGTTGAGGTACTCCGAGTGCTAATGCTGCAGGGACTCACCGGGAGTTGCCTGATCCCTTTTCAATTGGGCAGGCTGTGTGTAATCCACAAAGCAAACAAGTGAGCCGACATCATAACGTTTTAATGCTGCATTTGTTTCAAGGGAAACAGAGGAACAATTAAGCAGTTTGCCAGAGTAAACACATGCATCAGGACTATCTCATTCCCTGTCACTAGATGATAGGCTTCAAGTGTTTTATTTGGTTTGGAGACCCATTAAATTACAATTGGATGGTAAATTATCAGGGAGGACCTAATGTTCATTTACTAGATGAAACAGATTCCTAAGAAAAGTGATTTTTTTTCCTATTATACCTGTTTACATATTTGTCTTTTCTTTTAGAAAAATACTGCTTTTTTAATATAAAAGCACCAGCACTGATTTTTTTGTAATATTAAAATAGATGTAATTGTCTCATTACACCTTGTGACTTGATGAGCTCTGTCAGAGAAAACGAGTTGAAAAGCTCCTTGTGAACCGTTGTTTGGCTGGATAGGTGAGGCAAGTGACACCTTTCAGTACTACATGTTAGGAAAGGATGACCGAAGGTAAAATGTGAGATGAACTGTTTTGAGTCTGAGAAAATAGATACAATGGGACTTTTGTGCGAATGTGTTTCAAAGAAGGTGTCAAGTCGTTAGCGCATTAAATGGTGGAGTTATGAATTTGGTACAACTGTCACACGGAAGGCTTCTTGTCTTTAGGTCTATGGAAATGCAGGATCTCAGCAGCCCGCATAGCCGTCTGAGTGGTAGTAGCGAATCCCCCAGTGGCCCCAAACTCGATAACTCTCATATAAATAGTAATTCCATGACTCCCAATGGCACCGAAGGTGAGTGTCTGCCTTGTCACTGTTTACTTTGCACCTTGTTTCCTCATCAGCCTGCGCTTTTTTATGAGTTCAGTTGTCAGAGCCATGAAACTGCTGTTCCATTTCCCCTGGAGGTAATCACTATGCATCGTTAGTGAGGAGCTGCACATTCCTCGGCTTTTAGAACATGACATAGACTGGTTTTATTTCGCATAGATGCCTATATATACCTATGACACGTAGGGTGTGCGCGGAACATTTTTAACCTTGGAGAGTGTTTCAGCTCCTTGTCGACCATTCTCCACAGCACAGTGTTATTTTGCATTGTTTTGTTTCATGAGTAATGAAAATTTGGAGTTGTTGCCTTTATTTGAACTTTCCCTTTTGTTACTAAATGCAACCATTTGTTGCCTTTAAACAGTTATGTAAATGTAGCATTGGACTGGATTGTTTCTAAATACCAGTAACATAATTTGTGTGCCTAGTGTTCTTTGGCTTTGGCCATCAAGTTATAAATAAGTAAAAAAAGAAACAACAAAAAAGCATATTTGGTGTTTACAAATACACATCCTCAGTGGGAGAATACACAAAACTTATTTGCTTTCTTAAAGATGATTAAATAGTATACTTTAACCATAGTACTATTATACTTGTTTTTTTGTAAAATTAATACATGAATATTTATGTATAGCTTATGTAAATAGAAATACCTACTTTAATCCACATATCCCTAAGCCTAAACATATAAGCAAGACTGTATATACATATATACACACATATATATTAAGCTGTTATTCACATTTATTTAGGTACCGTGTATATTTTTAAAACTTGAGCATATGGAAGGGTATGTTACGTGTTGTACTGTATTTATTTCTGTTTTAGCCTATTGAAAAATTACTTCCTCACAGGTGATATTTTTACTTATTTATTTCCTGCTAAACCTCTGGACCTTGATGAACTTATAGCATGAGTTTCACTAGAAATGCAATGAATTATCCATGGTTAGAATTCCATCCATAAACAAAACCCTTAACCATCATTCCCCAATCACCATGGTGATCTTTTATCACCGTTCTTAAAAAATAAACACAAGTAAATGCCATTAAAGTGTGTGTTTGGTGGAGTATTCCAATATGTATAAGTGAAGGCTTTTAAAACCAGTAATATTATGAAATTTATGCTAAAAAATACAAAACCCGTTGTTTCTCATATGAGACATCTTAATTTTTATACCAATAGTGATTGTCTTTAACGTGTAAATACTGTGTATTTTCCTTTTTGAGTAAATACTTGCATTCCCAGTGTTTATAAAAGAGGGTCACTGTCAAAAGTAGAAACTTTGCTGATTTCACACACACAAAAATTACTCTCCGGATAAGTGCTGTTTCATCTGAAACTTTTCTTCCCATTTTGATAGGTGATCCAAACGAAATTTAAATTATTTCAAGGAAAGCAATTCTAGTGCTTAAGTGGGTTTGATAGAGCAATCCTTTTTTCTCTCCTTTGGAATTTGGCTTCAGGTAGACGTTTGGCCACTGCACAGTGCAGCCTAGGTGTGTGCAGTCGTGCAGACCATGGCAGGGCCCTGGGCTGGTGGGGCCGTACCAGGGTCCTTGTGCAGGCAGCCAGTGACAGGGGCGTCCAAGGGGACCAGAGGTGCAGATGCTTGACAGTCATCCTCATCAATGAAAAATCCAAATAACAACAGTCACTTAAAGTAACTTAAAAATAAAGAAGACTAAGTGTGTTACATTGTTTTGCTGACCAGAATACACCAATACATATTGGGGGGATTAATTACAAAATCATGGCGGTCAGTTTTCCAATATGTGAAGAAATGAAATTGGGGCAAGACGTTTCATTTTGTCATCATTTACTGGCAAACCATCTCCCAACAAAATAAGAACCATTCAGCATTGGAAACGCTGTTGGGGACTTCCCCCTTGGATGGCTATGTGTGAATTGATGCGTGTTTGTATTTTAAGGGAGCATATTTCTGAGTATCTACATTTAACAGCTGATATCACATTCATATTCAAGAATATGTATTTTATAAGATTTTTGCATAACTAAAAGAAGTTCAAAATAAAAATATTTTAGATGACTGTATAATCTGCTGAGACATTCAGTTTGGGAAATGCTTAGAAATTATTCCATATCCTAAAAAATAAATAAGTCTGTCTTATGTCTTTGAAGTGAATTTTTTAGACCAGTTTCAGACAATTACAGTCACTCATCTCACTGTCACTCTGTTTTCAGGCATTGTTAGTGGTGTACTTTGCAAGGGTTGTAGGAGTTAGAAAGTGAAGTTAGAAGATTTCAGTATAAATTATCCAAAAAATTAATGGATTTTTAGTCAACCTACTGGGATATTTATTTTAGTATATACTTTGAAAATATGGACTCAAACTTTCTTCACCATCCATGTCTCATGCCTGTTTCGATGCAAGCAGTCTCAGAAAGTTCTGGATTACTATTAAGTTTGTGAATCCATTTATCATGCTACCTATATGTTCCATCATATGTTGGTTTCATTCTTCTCAGTCACCGCTAGAGGAGTTAAGCTGAAAATTAGCGAAGTCATAATATCTGGCAAGCTTCTCGGGGATATAATTATTATAGATTTTCCTATTCCTTCTTTGAATCCCTTATTTATGTTGAAGCCAGTGGTGTTTACCAATGAATGAGAAGAATGAAAAACAAGAAACTCATTAAAATTTCAAAGACTGCTTAAAGTATCAATCACCTCTCCTAACTCCCTCCCAAATATTTCTAGCTCTATATGCATGATTTATATTTCAGCGACTTCACTGCAGCCCAGTTGAAGCTGCTCTCCTTAATTAGGTCAACAAAACTTCAGTTCGTTTACACAGTTCTTGGCTATGCCCACATTTATATAGATTGTCTTCTCTCAGAGCCATTTTTCACTTCCTGCCACCACTTGTCCCTATAATGAGGCTAAGAAAACATGAAAATCTCCTGTATCAAAAACCATAACTTCATCTGAAGAGCAAACAAGAAGGGAATGGAATGGAGAGGCAGAGAATATTAAGTTTCTTCTTAAGTCGGCTGCCAAATTATCATAAGACTCAGTGTTTGGAGGTTCTGTACTCACAGGCTAGCGCCTATTTTTATGGTTCATCTAAGGGATAAAGACAGAAACAGACTGAGCGTCAGCCTCTCATATCGTGCTTTTTTATTTTTTATTTCCTAGGTGAAATGTTCTTGACTTAGAAGAGTTGGTTGACTGTTTCATATTGCAAAAGGTCCACCTATTCACATTTTTTAGATTCAAGTCCAACCCCTCTGTGAATTGTTATTGTTGCAGTTAACTTTGGTTCTACCCAGTTTATAAATCTCTGAATTATAAAACAGAAACAGGTAAAAATATAAAATAGTAGCATAATTGACTTGCATTCAGGAAAGCACTATTAGAAGTGCTGTTTCCCAGTGAATTAATAAATATTTTAATTGCTATTAAATGATTAAAGGTTGACCTGGAGGACACTCGTGGATGGTTATGACAACACCAATTGTGGTTTTTCTTTTAACTGTTTTTCCTAGTCTTTGGGGCAGTTAGTCTTCCAGGACAGGGTGGAATAGAAATTTCTGATTAGAAAGATTGTCAAAGCATAATTTTTAAGACAGGCTTTTTTGGTAGTGATGCCCTTTGTTAGATAAGGATTAGTGTCAGATCTGAGAGCATTGGCAATGCGTGGGTATGTGTTCAAGCCTTAAAATTTGGCAGAGGCTGTAGTGTTGATGTTTGTGCTGTGTAGGTGTGAGAAGTACTTGCGGAATCATCCTTTAGAAGGACTCAGGGCTACAGCAGTAAAAGGATTTTTATTTACATACCTAATTAAGGCCTTGTTTGCAAAGCAGTGATTCTTTCCATCTTTGTTTTTGCTGGTTGTCTGAAGTCCATGGGAGCCTAAGATTGGTCAGTTCATATATTGCCGGTTTGAGTGTTTATTTTTGGTTGTCTGGGGGTGAGCAGTGGGGAAGGGCAGAAGAGAGGTGGAGCAAGCGGAACTAAGAGCTCTAATTCTGTTTTCTCTTTTGAAAATGTAGATTCAGACTCAAGAAGAAGCTTAAACTTGTCTTAAGGCAGATGAATTTGCCTTTCAGGGACATAAAACCAGATGCAATTGGAATCTTCCCTACAAATAGGGTTTCAGGAATTCTGGTGGTAATTCAAATAGTAATTTTGAATTGGCATATCAGATTTCCAAGATGATAAGAGATACGATCTTGAATTAGGTGCCTTCATTTTCTGCATCTTAAGATTTATTTAATTGTGAATTGCATAGTTTAGGATCATAGGTTAATTCAATTTTACAAATTTATATTATCAGAAGTTATTTTAAAGTTGTTTTATCATTTCTCCAAAGCTTAGAACACATACAAGTGACCTTAAGTTGTTTTTCTCACTGTAATTTTAATTTAGTAAAATACAGTTATATCCAACAAGAGTGTGTTAAAGAAATCTTACTTATGAGAAATATGTAAACTAGAGTGAATGTGTATAAAATTATGGTTTGAGGCTGCATTTTCAAGGCTATATTTATATATTTGTGGTCAGATATTCTGTTGTCAATAGAAAAATGGTAATCAAATTTTATTGTTTGCGTTCTGCACATGATTTAGTTTCTGGAAGATTAAGGGACATTGTGAATAAAGGAGTTTTTCTAAATGACATTTTTAAGAGTTTGTCTGTAGCCACAGAATTAGCCCTTTATAAATTGTTCTTTAGCAAAAGCCATGAAAGGATGAGCAAAATAATTTGTTAGGACTTAATATTTGCCTGTATAGTGTATAAGAATAATTATCACATGCCTGTTGCTAATTAATAATTATGGCTAATTTTTATAAATAACTTATTATTAGTCATGATGCTGCCCAGAACCCATGATGTATCTCATTAATCTTCAGAAAATTCCTTTTGAGATTGCAACATCATGCTTAAGAGACTGGGTTCGAATCCCAGATCCATGTACTAGCTGTGAGCTCAGGCAAGT